TATGCTTATCTAGATCTGCTTCTATTTAAAATTGCTTTGCTTTTATACCAACTCTGCCAATAAGAATTCAACTGCATTAAAATAAAGTAAATATAATTCATAGTATATTTTTTAAAAAATTATTACTTACCTTATGTCATAGATTTTAATTCTGTAGCTGTAAGTATATTATATTAATTATATAAACTAGAAGAAAATAAATATTGATTTATTGCTTTATTAAGTAAAAAATATAGTAACAAATTTGATTAAATAAAATACAAATTAGAAATGATTTTATTTATTTGACATTTCGTGGGATTTTTTCTGACTTATCACAGGTAAATCGGGTTTCTTTATTATAAAAAATATATATTTAGTTTCTGAACAAAAAGTTTCAAATTAATTTTCAATAATTTAGTGGTCATTTCAGATATGACTTAATTAAATTGATTTTTTTGTAGCCGCACATTAATTATAAAGGCACTACTCTTGGCAACTATTGAATTGTAACCTATCGCTAGTTACCTTCGAAAGCCTATTTATTCCAACTCATTCACTCTTTTCTTGTCTTATGCGCTTAAGAAAAATACCGCTTTTTATCAAAAACTTATCTGTATAGTTAAACCCTATACTTATACTTATATGTATAGGGTTTTCTTCGGGATCAGATATTTGGTCTTAACGAATGCTCTAATAGATACTAATAAAATAATTTCAACCCTTAACTTAGAGTTAAGCATTTGTTATATTATTCTATAACGCTTATTTAGTAAGTATTTCAAACAAAATAGAATGAGAAACCTTTTATAGTTCACAAGATATAATAAAGTTTAACCATTCGTATATATGATCCAATAAATCAACAGAACGAATAATTATTTGCTTTGATAGACTAAACAATTTAAATAAAATGAGCAGTTTGGATCATGTCTGCTGAGTAATAATATTTTAATATTCACATATTGACATTTGATGCTTTCAACAGTCACCTGACAGATAAGTATCTGGCAACCCTAAAACTGCTTGAAATCTTTTCTATATGAAACTGCAATTTTTTTCATAGCTTTGTTTGAATTCGTATCATTCGTTCTCCGGTTGATAATAATCGCAAAAACTGCAGTTGTTTTTAATTGTTAATGGTTGTATAGTGAAAAACTTATTTAAACAAAAGCAGATTTTGACAAAATTTCAAAAAAAAACTGAAAAGATCTAATATTGGTAAGTAAATTTGGTCTTTTTGACAATGTGCTATGGCGCATGCAGACAAAATACTTCGAGCTTCTGTTTCGAAGTCAACAAATTCTCTGTTGGCTTCATATATACATAAATTTCTACCTAATTAAAGTATATATGATATATGTATATTAAATTAAATTTTTTTTTTTGTGAAATTATACTTTTTAATCTATTTTAAAGGTTTGCTGAAACCGAACAAATAAATTCACAAAAAAAATATGTTCCATTTTCTTGGTATTCCCCTCAGCAACGCTGCAATTTGCTCATAAATTACAGTTTCGCAAATTAAATGTTAATTTTTTATTAATTAAATTATTATTAAATTAATTTCATTTCGTTTAGCAAATAAAGATTCAGTTAGTCGGTACTTACCGTATGAACTTTAATCAAAGCGAAGTGCACAACCAACCACATCTGTGTATTTGATAGAAACGAAATAAACAACAGGTATGGTTGGTTGTGCATTTCGTTGTGGCTTAAGTTCTTACGGTACGTACCGACTAACTGCGCCTTAATTAGCGATTCTTACAACTGATATTAAATTCGAATTTTCTATTGAAAAAACGCTTTGAACAAGCAGACCAGCGGAATATCTATTGTAATATTGGTGAGTATCGTGCAGATACTTCATTCCTTTCCGTTGCTGAAAAACAACACGAATGTAATAATTCAAAAAATATACAAATAATTTAAAAAAAACGGATTCACAGCTATTAGATTTAATCATATATGAAACAATTTTTATATCATTACAGAATACTTGACTGGTATTGCTGATATTTTGAAAGTACTATAAATCAACATCATGAGCAGATGGACTGATCTAAGCAAGCAAAGCTCTGAAGCTGAAAAAGTACAAAAACTTCAGACATTAGTTGAAACCATAAATATGGAACGCCAGCTTCCAGAGATGAACGACAAAGTAAAATGGTCTGATATATTGTTTGAGAAGGATTTTGTTAAAAATCTAATGCCTCCAACCAGATTAAGTTTCAGAGAATCATTGAACTCATGTGCAGAATTTGTCAACAGTTATGTTACCGGTTGTTACTTGTCACCTTATACTTTAGTGGGAATATGGTCTAACATGACCCAAGCAGATATGACAACCCCACTTTTCTGTAGCTCCTGTTTTCAATCCTGTAACATTGGATTTTTTCCGGGATCACTAAAGCCATCTCTTATAAAAAACTTTAAGAACTATACTGCAACGAAAGTACGGGAAAATATCAATGCAGCCTCAACTGGTTCACGTATAGCATTTACCTCGAAGCAATGTAAGATATGGTATAATACTATGATGGATATTCTGTATGTTCCTGATATCTCTACAACTCGTCTAGTTCATATTCAACAAAAATTATCTACAAGTTCTATTTATAGCAAGTATGAAGACACAGTAGAGGCAACTGGAGAAGAATATATTAACAAAAAAAATCTAACACTTTCAGCAATTGACAAAGTCGCTCATCAGCAAGAGCTTATTAACTTTCTCGGGCATCTAAGTATGATGTTCGTCAATTTTTTAGAGGAAAAGAGAGAAAGTAATCTTACGATAATATATAATGAATTTCTACCCATGTATACCGAATACTGGGGCTCTCCTATTAAGGCTAGTTGGATACCTCCACACTGCAGCTTTCTAAAACAGATAGAAAGAATTATGGTTAAAAGATCAGCTCCAGCCAATCTCTTGCTCACTTTCATTCTCAAAGGATTCATAGAAAATAGTTTTAATGCCGCGGTAACTACTTTTCTATACAACGCCTGCCTATATAACGTGCGAAAATATCAAAATGCTTGCATGGCATTGTTCTATAAAGTTGCTCAAGAGGAAATTATGAGAACATTTCCAATTTTAGTATTTGATCCAGATATTGTACATTACACTGAGATATATGCAGCGAGAACACTTCAGCTAACCACCGCCCAGTGGGCTACATTATTGAATCCTAAGACTTTCGTTGAAATTTCCGCTGAAGATAAATCAATTATTACCTGCATTTTGTTGGGAATATGTACCAATAATGATCAAGATGATCCATTATGGGGGCAGACACAAATTGGAGGACGTGATATGACGTTTCGTCTGCAATATGGAAGAATTGGTGCTGTCATAAGAGAACAAGCCAGTGTCTCACAAAATACCAGAGTATGGTATTAGTGGCGACCTTATTTTCTTCTAGACAACTCTGGCTGTGTAAAGTACAGGTTCCATTTTTATTTAACAGAATATACTATGTATAAACAATTGTTAGCTAATCGAGCTGTAACGGAACTTAAGTAAATAAAATAATAAAAAATAACTAAATATATTATTATTATATTATATACTGAAAGTTTATTGATTTTATTTTTTAGTTTAAATGCAAAACTAAAAGTTAGCAGTAATAGAAATCGTTTCATCTGGATCGTGACCTGGTCGAGATATCGAAGTTAAGTTCATTGGATCTTCTTAACCACACTTTAGGCTATGTTAGACGACATGATCATATGAAATTGAAAAGCTGAATAGGAGAAATCTGTATGACTTACGTTTTGATCATAACCAAAATTAGCGTAAAACTGCCGTGACCTTTCGTCATATGACTGTCTATATAACATGTTAATATTAATACCGCCTCTGGCGCTCACTAGACCTTTTAGATCGAGGTGCATTCATAGCTTATTATTTAATAATAATAATAATACTGGTTCTTTCCAACTAATCTAAGCATTATCTCTATTGAAACTTTTATGATTGTTATTTGAAACTTTACAACCTGGACTTGTACTTACTTGGAAATTAAAGGTGTGTGTCGGCCATGGCCGAGTCCAATGGGCTCTGCCTATTGTTAGCAATTATAATTTTAGAGCTATGTTATTCGTTTGGAGCCTCTAATATTTAAACTAGAAAATTTTATTGAAAGAATTAATATTATTATTATAAATAATTTTTAGAGATTTTTTTCGAACAGTAGTTAACTACAACAACAAAAATTTTATTCTTTATATTATTTTAATTAATTGAATTTTTGGCTGACCATACAGCTGTATTGTAAACAATATTTCTTAAAATATTAAATTCAATAAATATTTTTATTTAAAAAATTATTTCTCCTATTTTGCATTTCCGGCACCTCAATAAGATTATGTGAAATATAACTTTTGTCTGTCAAGTTATATATAAAATGTTTTAAATAAGTATAAATTTAATTTATTTTTACATATGATAACATCTCATATATTTCAAGCATATCTAAAACTTATTTATAAGCATTAAACCTTTTGTTATATTTATTTTCTGAACACTTCATATTTACTTAAGCCCAAATAGTTTCTTATTTGGTTGGAGCTGGTACTCATAGGATTGTAGTCCTTTTCACAAATGAAGCATACTACGTGCCCAGCCAGTTGCCAGCCAATATAACATTGTTTTATGTAGGCTGTCCCGTCAGCAATCAACTATGAAATAGAATTTCTTGCTTAAAATAACAAAATAAAATTGAAATGAAAAGGAGTGCATCCTGTTTTCTTTCTCGGCAGTTTCCGTTTCCGGTCGCTTGACCCAGCTACTAGGCGCGTGTATTGTTTAGTTGAAGCTTGTTTAGTTTAAGTTTAATTGAATTTTGGAAATTTGGAAATTTTCGTTAAGAAGAAACTTTTGTATGGTTTCTTTTCTGTACTAGCGCTTTGAGGTTTGTTTTTTTTTTTTGCTCACCATTCTTAAAGGTTTTTCTACTTCTCTAGCTTTTGTGTATATTTTTTTTTCATTTGTTTGTTTTTAGGTTTGAAGCAGCTGGTGCTGTTAACAGTTTTCCTGAACATAAACGTGTGTATCTAGATGCCAAGACATTAGCGAGCACATATAGGAACTACCAAATACACTTTTAGTTGCCAAAGTTGGTTAAGTTAGTCGCTTAACTTTGCACGCACAAGTGTCACCACTTTTCTTTTGTTAGTTTATCAGCTCCAAAACTTCTATGTCGAGAGTTTATATAAATACCATATGTATCTATATCAGTATATATGCGTTTATATGTACTCATGTCTACATAGAAACTTTTGAAATTTGTTTATATGTAACACAAGGCCAGTGTGCGCTGTTGTATGTTAAAATTTAATTTAGAAAAGATATTCAAGTATGTTTTCCTAATGACTTTCTAATTTAATCTAAATTTTATTATTCCCCTAAGAGGGTGCAAAACTTGAACATAAGTGCGAGTAAATTTTTATTCCACAAAAACTTAAAAAACTCTCACTTATATTTTATTTATGGTAAAGTTAACTTATATTCATCGATTTAATTCCACCAATTAAATTAATTTGCTAAATGAAAACAATAAATTAACAAATTTTTATTATAATTCTTTAGTACAACTAATCTAAATAAATCCTAAATAAACTGTTTAAAAAATTACAATAAATAACTCATTTCGATTAGTTGCTGGGTATGCGAACTTTTGTTTACGCCCTGAGCATTTAAGAAATTTTGCAAATTCTAATTTAATTAAAATTTTACGAAACCAAAACAAACATTATGAACTCATATGTTTTTCATATAAAATAATATAATTAATATTTTTGCAAAATTTTCTATTTAATTTTTACTTTTTCATTTGCTAACTCGCACCGCATTGGCAACGAACGAGCTAAGTTGCAAAGTATTTTGACTTTTTCATTAAGCAAAGTTTGTAATTTTTTTGGTTAAAGTTAACATCTGAACCACACGAGGTAATAATGGCAACAATAACCATTTCTAGCTCCCAGCCATGCTACACACAAAGCAGCAAAGCAGCGTTTTTATTTTCCGATTACGAGGTTTTCAGTTGAATTCTCTTTAAATGGTGCACCTCAGAGGAGCAAACAACATTTGCACTACAATAATTTCTAGGAATTATTTTTCATTAAGAAAAAGTTCATTAAAGGACAGTAATAGATATTTACAAATAAATATATACATAACATATAAATATTAGCATTACATGTCAAGCGAGCACTCCCACTTACGTTTAATAGAGGGAATTAATAAGTAACGCAGATCAATTTTAAAAATAATTTATAAATTGCTCTTTACTCTACAAAATATACAGTAATCTACCTTATAACGCGGTAGATTGGTTCCGCATTATAAAAAAACGCATTATAGGTGTATTTCCATACACCCCGTATACACAGTTGCAAAGGTACGCTAAGCTAATTATGAACTCTACAAATCCCCGCATTATGTGGAGGAATGCCCGTGTTATACGGGGGATTGAAATCGCGTAATATGAAAACGCGTTATGAGGGTATCGTATTATAGGGGGGATTACTGTATATTTTGTTAGAAAGATAAACTGGGCTTTAAACGGTATATAAGTTAATACTCGCGGCCTCTCAAATTCGACCCTTGTGCTTGCTTGCATTAATGGCATAATCATGAGATATTATTCGATTGCCTGATTGGTATCAAACGGGATATCAAATTGTTTATCTGGATAACCCGTTTGGCTTACGTAGCCCTCAACTTGATAAGCGAAGTTCTTTCAGTTTTACTTGTGCTATTGAAGCAAGCACACGTATTCGTTCGGTTAGATTAGATTACATTATGCTGGCAGATCAAAAAGGCCACGCATAGACCATTAAGGTCCATTGCGATACTAGAACAGAGTCTTATTAAGCGATTGTGTGCATCACTTAGGATATGCGTTTTGTTAGCGAATTTTATTAGGATTTCAACAGAAACCTTAGGTATGTGCTCCAATCCAGAAAAACTGACAGCCACCAAGTATTTTTGTCGAGTTCTGGAGAGAGCCGAGCAATTACACAGCAGTTGCTCTAGAGTTTCTTTTGTATCCGGCTCTTTGCATTTCCTACAAGCATCGTTTTCTCGTTCGGTTATGCAGCATATCAGGAAGATATGCTGGGCTTCAAACCATACTTCTGTAAAATCATCTAAATAACTTATTATCATAAATAAATAACTCCTTATCATAATTCAATAGAGCGCTTATTACAATGGATTAGCTAAATGTACGCAGATACTATTGAGTAAAAGTACTTTAAACACTAACTCGCATTTCGTTCAGGGAGGAAGTTGGAAAACTATACAGAATTTATAAAATAAATGACTCAATTGCTCTTTTACTGTAGCTTGTTTATATACGTATAGCACTGTTTTGTAATACGGAGGCGATCTGCTACCGAGTTTGTTAATGTTAGCTATTTTTACCAATATACTTTTGAGTGTTCTGTGTTGGCACAAGGCATCGTTGAGCAAGAATTTTTAGCAAAACACTTAACAGATGTGATCAACAAAATATAGCACTCAGCTGGTATTGTCTCTTTAAGAATTTTTACTCTTTTCAAAGCTAAAATTACTACACAGTGAAGTTGATAGTCATCATAAGCAAAAATCATAACTCAATCAGCCATCAAAAAATGTATGGATAATTTAGTCAAGCGTTGATATAGTTAAGCTGCACTTTCTTAAGGAGTAGGTTACAAAATCACAAGTAGAGGTAGAACTTTTCAGCGCATAGGTAGCAATAGCTTGACTAGAAGTTGATAGATATTCATTTTCATAGCATCAAAACTTTGATGTATACGGTCAATTGCTCAGCTTCTCTCAAAAAGTAGTGAAAAAATTGTTCATTATATACTCGTAAATCTTGTATGAAACATGTGATGAAAATTTTAAACGCAACAAAACTTAAACAAATATCTCATATACCCATGTCTTTAATTTCATATCAAAAAAAAATTGCTGTCCATATGACTGTAGCGATCAAAACTAATAGTTTGTGTCACGATTTTATTACTTTAAGACAGACACAGGCCTATTATACCCCCAGTCCCCAAAGCTTGGACATTAAAAGTTGTAATAATAAGTAACTGGAATTAAGTACTTGTAAAAAGAATTGAATAATTTCAGCAAATATATTTGATTAAAACCTTTACATAAGAATTAAAATAAATTTAGTATTTTAAGGTTATTATAGCTTTATATGGTTTTTGTGATTGCCATAATACATATTATATGTAGGTATATATTTGTCGTTACTAATAATTATGATCTCGATTAAAACAGCCACACTTTTGTATGGTTTATGTGGTCTCCAAAGTCTTTATCGCTGCATTATAAACACCTTAACGAACTCAATTTATTCACATTAATGTAAAAGATATAAATAGCATATAATGAAGTCATTATCATTATTTAATAAATTCTCATATAAACATATTTAAGTGCTCGTAAAGCAGCAACCACATCTTAAGAGTAATGACAATAAAACGTTGAGTATTTAAAAAT